CCTGGAGAATACTACACTACTTCTCTTTGTGTCATTCATGTGATATCCATCCCTTTATCTCTCTCTCTCTCTCTCTCTCTCTCTCTCTCTCTCTGCAAAAGAATGAATTCCACCTGAGGTTGAGCAGACTGACATTTGTTTCTCAGCTAACACCACACCTCTCTTTCTTAAAGCTATAGCTCAACAAAAAATGAATTGTAAGATAATTAGAACATGCTTCTCATCTTCTCATATTCCCATGGCAACATCATCTGCACATTTTCACAGCAATCAGATAGATATTTCCTAAGATTCACCCTTTTTGTACCAATAAAGTAAATTTAGTAATAAAGTAAAGTAAATGTTCCTGTGTGAACTCTGTGAGGTCACTGGGAAGGCAGACTTTTGAAGAGAGGGCTATGCAGCGTCCTGCTACTGGTTGCGCTGCCGTGTAACCATGGGAGGCGTGACCATGCAGAGTGGCCACGTGCAGAAGCTCTTGGGAGACACTGGTTCCTGGAAGGAGAGACTTTTTCTTTAGTTCTACTTTGTAAATTAGTTTAGTAAATAATTTTAATCTACCACAGCAAAACAACATTTTCTATAAAATCTTTTTATATTAGGCCTTTTATTTCTCTCGGTTGTTTGTACTGTTTGTCTTAGTTTATTTTCGAAAATAAAAGTCTGCGTGCATTAAAATCTATTTGAGGAGACTAAAAACTAGGTAGAGCTTGTATGGAGGACAATAATCTGGGTGGTCCAAGGGTGGACCAGAAGTGGCAAACGGTTGCTGACCTTATCAAGCCGGTGAACTGATATATGTTTGCTATCTGGGTTGCTAGAGAGAGACATTAATGTTGTAAATATGTTGTTGCTGTTAGCTTGATGATTAGCTTGTTAGAGCGAGACTTTAATGTTGTAAAGTGCAAAACTAAACAGGAAACTTCACAAACCAAAACTGGACAAATGTGCAGTTAATTTGTGAGAATTCATAGATGAGTGTGTGAGAGCGCCCCCTGCAGGGATGTTGCAGAAGTAATGGACAGGTAAAGGTGTTCAGAAGAACAGACTAGTCTCCATTTCAGCAAACGCTGAGTCTAATTGGAACAATGATAACAAGCTTTTAAACCATATCACTGACTGAACTGAGCAGAACAGCAGAAACCTGCTTTCTTCCTATTTCTGTTATGAAAATCACTCAGTAAACTGCATCATAACGCTGCATCATAACGCTGCATGAGGAAAAATCACGGCTCAACACAGCAGTCAGTGGCAGAACAAATGCATACCATTTCCATTACTACTCCAGAGCCATTTCACTCAGTCTTAAATGACAAGAGCACTAAGAGGAGTTGAATAGTAGGCCTGGTTCATGGTTGGCCTCTTGGCTTGACCACAGCACATGGAGTGAACACAGCTGGGAGAGCTTAAGAGAAGCTTTTATATACTTGTAAACAGTCTTGGAGCAGCCTGTTTGAAGTCCTAGCTGGAGACTTGGGCACACTTAGCAGAACCAAGGCCTCTGTTTCAGTTACAGTGGCTGATTTCAGTTGAATACTAACTGCCAGTATGATGTCTTTTCCTCTCACACATGCATGCCAATGTTTAATAATGGAAAAGTATGCGACTGAAACAGGAGAGGAGGTACAGGGCTGCCGTTTACCTTCCCGTCTTTGTTTCAGCTCGTGTGCAGGAATCATTTAGTTGTAGGTCAAGTGCTGATGAGGGTGAAGTAGTCCCTGTTCAGAAGCAGGTAATGGAACATTTTCTTCACTTAAAAAATACATTACTCACTACATTTTAAATGCTTTTGTTGTTTTTGTGAAATATTGTTAAAAATAAAGGGTGCTAAAAGGGTTCTTCAGAGCAATACCACAGAACAGGTTTTGGTTCCCTGAAGAACCTTATAATGGATGTTTTTATCAAATCAAATCAAACCACATTTATTGTCACATCACACTTACACAGATGCAGATGTGAGTGAAAATCTTAGGCGCATAGCCCCCTTGTGGAGTTTAAATATGAATAAAAATATATCGCTGTTTTCGGAAGAAAACCTCATATCTCAAAATAATAACTCTAGAGGAGAGGGAAATACCTACTTTACTTTCAATGTTAGTCAGTGGAACCAGTCATTTTGTGCCATTTCTTTTGGTCTGTTCCTCATGAAATTTACACACAATGTAAAGGGCAACAGGCATTTTCAAATTATGTCAAAAAAGTGAAAATATAACTTATTGAATGAAATAAAACTATGATATGTACCGTTGTACACATTCCATATGTGTAGTTAGTGAGTCTGAGGTAGATAAAGAAATGAGATGCAGGGTAAACAGGGGATAGAATATTAACATAGAAATCTTCCAGATTATACAAGATGTGGATAGAAGATGTACAAGATGTCAATCTATATGTGTAAGTATACATTTGCTAGATTGAAGGTGCAGTAAGATCAGAGTAGGTCTGTCAAGATGTGAATGTGGCGGTTATATAGTTATATGGTCATATAGGACCATACATTATAAGGTTCTTCGGGTAAACAAAAGCAAGGTTGTTCAGGTAACCAAAACACTTCTTAACTTTATAAAGAACAATTTTTGTAAATGAGATGAGTGAATAACTTTTAGTGTAAAGTGTAATTTTTTCTAGAACCACTTACAAACCTGTATTCTATGGGGCATAAAACTACATCCAGTTTCAGGTTCCAAAGACCGCACAAATTAAAAATAGTTTAATAACATAATCTTACTGAGTCATAAATTAGTATTTTAATGTATTCGCTGAAGTGTTCCTGCATATCAGCTCCAGTGAGCTGTATTTGTGTACTACAAAGGGAGGAAACTGGAAAGCAGTGGTGTGCAGAAACACGTCACTGGCTACAACATTCAAACTGCACTGAAGTAAAAATAAGTTCTAAGATTGAATGTGTTTATTCTTAATCAGGTCTTATCAGAGAAGGAAATAACAGTAACTGTTATAGAATAATGTGTCACTGTATTAGTGGTGTAGTATTACAGTATTACAGTCTCTAAGCGTCATTTTGCTGTCTTGTTCTGTGCCCCATGGAGGCTTATGGAACATGGAAGAGCACTCTAAGGCAAATACCCCTCGCCCCCCCACCACCACCACAAAAAAAAAATAGACTTTCCACTATTTTACCATTACAGTACCTTTAGTCAGGGAACATAACTGTTGTATTGACTCCACACACCCCGTCTCATATCTAGGCTCTTTATTTTATTGTTGTTTTAAAACATTATATTATGAAAAGGTACAAATATGTACTTTTCCACTAGAAAAAACTTATTTAAGGTACACAGTTGGACCTTAAAACCACTGTTGTACCTTTGAGGGAACATTTACATTGTTTGTACCTTGATGAACGAAAAATTTTCCTGCACAGTACCTTTATTTCTAACAGTCCACTCAGTATAAAGGAAAGAAATTTTGAAGAATTGGTGGAATTCACACTGACACACTTATTTCTCTTTTGCTTCTTCCAGTTGGCCAAGAACACCACAGCGATAATGCAAGTCATTTCAAACTGAAGCTAGTGATTCATTCACATAATCTGCCTATTTACTTCATGCCTTCTATGACTGCCACACATTAGAATGTAATATATCTGCTGCATTTATCATGGTCTAATGAGTGGAACAATGATGTGGAGCTGAACAGTTCCAGGAAAGTCTTTGCAGTCCCGGTTGCTAATGGTGGGAGCACTTTCCTCCGGGGCTGGAGTGTGTCCCAGCTCCATGTGTGTGTGTGAGGTTTGGCAGGCCTTTCTGCAGCGCTACTGCTTCACTAAATGCCAGAAACACTTTGCATCTGGCTCTCGTCACTTTAGGAGACCACAGGCAAATCAGCAGACCATCTCTAAAGCTGGATTCTAAAGGAAACTTCAGGTTAGGGCGCACGCTCGTCCTGTTGGGCATTGAAAGCGCCATGCAAATTGGTGCAAGTATGACACGGAGGGAAAGAATTCCCTTCTGGAAAACTCCGCCCAAGTGTGGAGTGAGCTGAGGGGGCCTGGGCTGGCGTGAGCCTCTTGGAGCAGCGCACGGAGGTAAAGGTGTCAGGAAATGGCGTCACACACCTAAGCTGGCCACCATTAAAAACAATAGACCCTCATAAGGACCGGGCTTCCTTCAATTGTGTCGGTTTCCACAGTTGCGTGAAAACACAACATAAAAACGCACCCGCCTTTTTCCAGCAGTGCCAGACAGGCCGCATACTTCTCAGTGCTGGAATAACTAAGGGATCACCTACAGCACAGCGCATTGCTCAGAGACCTGCAGCCTGCACACACTGCTGAGACACCACGATATGCACAAACCATCCCAGTGTAATGATGGTGCCACCTGTGGTCACTGCGAAGTGTACCTTTGAGCAGATAAAAAGGTTCCACTTAACCCCTCAAAATCTCAGGCGTATTACATACTAAGGCTTATTATTCAGCAACTACATGGACTACAATGCAAACTGATTGAGTTATTCTCAAAAGATGGTTCTTCAAGGGTTCTTTAGTAAATATATATATGTACACACACACACACACAGACAGACACACACACACACACACACACATATTTATATATACAATGACTATATCCTCTCACTCATATAACGTCTGGATTCTTGTTACAGTGAAGGCTCTTGAATGGAACTGAAGATTTACACTATGCTGTTGCTTTTGTGAGTTTGCTGTTCTTTGATTTATCCACAGGTCTCCTGCTACAAGCACTGTCCAGCATTGAAGCCACTCAAAAGCTGTATTTGAATGAATAGAGGGCAACAATTGTGGGTTTTGTCATAGCAGCATACAGTGCAAGAGCAGCTGGGGTTCAGCCTGCAGTACTACAAATGGTTAGAAGGCTCAAACTAGGAAAATGTGTTAACATCATTAATAATACATTTATTGTGTCATTGTTTTTAAAAGCCCTAGTGAAACTTGTTTTTGTAGAATCATTTGTATACCTCAATATTTGCTTTTGGCAGTGTGATAATGATACTGTATAATGTGACGAGAGAAAAATTACAAACTTTACTTGCAAATTATTTATTTGATTACAAAGCAATAGAAGCAAAAAAAACCCTAAGTAAAGTGCAACACCAGTGGTGAGAAAGAAACGATAATGGCACTTGGAAAATAAAGAAAAATACAAAATGACTGAGCTGAACACTTGGAGCACAGCCTATGTCCTGTTTGAGATAATACTGGACTTGGCTACAACACTGCAGGACAGAGAAACCAACCTGTCCTATTGGCACATCCTAAATGTACAGTGTACAGGCAGGGCTTTGGTTAATTTCCATCTACTTTATTGCTCATTACCTCCAGGCCACCATATGCAAAACTATGCCTTGGAGGAGCGTGTGAGGAGGTTAGGTCCACATAAAAAAATTATCTAAAGTTAAAAAAAGGAAAAAAGGAAAAGAACACAGTGCATGCTGAAATCAGCTCAAAAAGGAGGACAGTGCTTCAGCATCTGCTCTGAAGCAGAGATAGTGGTTAAAAAAGACCCTGAAAAAAGCTAGTGGAGTTTGTGGTCCAACACACTGCAGTGGTTTCTCTGCTCAAACAAACCTACTAAACTTGGCAATTACAGATCAGTTAAATCAGGAGTGTTCGCACCAGGAAGTGCTGTCACATTTGCCTTCCTGGACCAGCACTGCTCTATTAATTGGTAAGAGTTATCTAAGCCATGACCTTCTTCTTGCACTCGACAGAGCAGAGTAGTTTGCCCTGCAGGGCCATGAAGCGCTGACCCATCAGGCACTTGGAGCAGCCAGCGCAGAGGAAACACTCAGGCTCAGCATGCCAGTGGTGTTCCCCGTACGACACACGCTGGGCCTCAGGCTCAATCGGCTTCTGACACGCCACGCAGTGCTGTGGAAACATACAAACACAATGCATTAAAAATCATACATCTAATTCCAAATACAGTACCGTTCAAACGTTTAAAATCACTCGGCGTCTAAATTGCTGTTTTTTCTATAGTAATGTATACTGATTGAATATAGAAGCTTTTTTTTCATTTAGTATTTTCAATTTGTGTTTTTGCACTGTAACTGTCTATTTACAGTGATTTCTTCTGCCTCACAATTTGAGCAAATACAACACATTTCAGATACTAATTTTATTCAACTTTATTCTTGATATTATGCTATATAATTTTATACAGCTTTCTGATTTTAAACCTACGAAAGTGGGTAGTTGGACCATCATATTACAATCATTTTATACAAAAGTCAGAGTGATTTACAGTCAAAACAGCCAATTAATACAAATTATTCATTTTTGAGAAGATATATCTGAGAAGATTATATAAAAGATAAACCACTTGCATAAGAAAGGAGAAAAGATCAAGATCTAGAGTAAATGGGACTCCCAACAACCATGCAGGACCTGGTAGACACCAAAACTTTCACCATCACATAAACAGCACTTAAAGCTTTCATCTTGTGAGACAGGAGAAAACCAAGCTTTGCCAATCAACCAAAAAAGGTGCTGGTGTTCCCAGAACAATGTAGTGGCCACCCCAGTCCAGATCTCAACATCACTGAATGTGTTTGGGATTATTTGAACTGTGAGAAGCAGAAAATGCAACCAACTTCTAAGACTGAACTTTGGAGGTGTGGAAAGATATTTCTACAGTGCAGATTTCTTAGAAAAACTCAAAGCATGTCTATTAAAAAGAATGGAAGCTGTAAAGGGTAAAGACTGGACACAGTAAATTAAAAAAAAATTAGATTTTATTTTCTATTTGAGGCTTCTGTGTACTTTTCTGTAAAATGTATGCTTGCTGCTTTTTTCCCCTGACACTGAAAAATGAATGACTTGTACTTAATGGTCGCTTTGACGGGAAATTTAAATAAATGAAGGGTGGTCTCTTTTGTACAGTCCTGTTTCGGAAAAAAATGGGTTTACATTATTGAAATGAGTGAAACCAAACTAGGAAAACTTCTTTGCTATCACATTTTGAGTCATATCACCTGTCATCAGGGCAAACACAGGAGATACAAATGATTAAGATCTCTGAGGGAAAATTTCTTTTCTTTAAGCCCTACTTAAACAAACCCATCAAACAGATGGGCCAATGAGTGGCGAAGTGGCCAGTATCACATTAACTGCATTCCCTCTAGTCATTACAATGTCATTATCATGTTACTAGCGCTTACTTAATCCCCATCACCTGCTCCAGAGCCAACATCACTGCTCAACACTTGCTCTGCCTGCTGGCTTCACATGTGCTGAAAGCCCTTTAACAGTAATGGACCTCTACTGAACACTGAGAGCAATGACAGCGTAATATATGCACATGTGGTGGAAAACTATGAAACTACTTGCTAATGATTCATGTAGTTTACAGAGCCTTAAGGAGATGATAATGCACAGTTCATGCCCACTAGGCTGATACAGCACATAGTCACTGACAAGACTTTCAGCTTGTGAAATGATTCTTTTCACTGTTTTATTATGCTCACACATGAGTGGCAGAGAGTGAAATAGTAAAACTGTAAAATAGTGAAGTAACTGGAAAAAAGAAAGAACCAAGAAAGTGTGCAAAAGCAAGAGAGAGAAAGAGAGAGAGAGTGATTACCACAGCGTGGTTCTTCATGTAGCAAGGTTTGCAGACAGGTTTGTCGTTCTCCATGACGTAGGTTTCTCCGGCCAGAACACAGTCGCAGTCAAAACAGCAGAAGTGCTTCAGGTGCCAGTTCTGTCCCTCAGCCTGAGTGTACTCGTTACTGAAGATCAGCTGAAAAACACAGACAGACACAAAATAAGACACAGAATTTGAAATAAAAACTGAAAATGTATAATAATATTCAATATTATGTAACTCTTTTTTTATAGCCAAAATAAAATTACTGGGCTATTTTTAAACATATAAAACCTACCAGAAATCTATTGCTTTTATTGTCTATTCCACTTACTGTCACTCCTGTAGTGACCTTCACTTAAAATTATTCTAATTTAATCTAATTTAATTTTACGGATAACAAAATAAAGAACCAATCAAAATAACTGAATCAAAATAATATTTTATATTTTATAATAATTATTTCTATTTTTCTAAATATTTCTATTTTAAATAAAAAATTGAGATTTCATAAATCATAATCAAATTGAATCGTATTGTTGTGATAAGGGATGCATTATTGGAATTTCCAGATTTTTTTTCAAACTCACAATTATTTTTATCTTAACCTATTTATGGCGTAAATCTGTACCAAAATGCTGTGGCAGAATTACACTAGACTAATTGTGATAAACAGCCAGTCACCTCTTACTTACTGCAGCAATTTATTTAATTTGATTTTTCATCTAAGAATTTAAAACTCCAGTTTCACCCAATAAAGAGCAAATAAATGTTATTTATAATGTGACTTTGGCTAATAGAAAGTACTGGAAATGTGCTTCATGTGTTCATTTAGACCCCAGTGTGAACTTCGGGTTAAAAAATAAAAGGCTATTAAAAACTGCCAAAAAAAAAAAAATCTACCATGTGCCAGTTTGGCTGTAAAGAAACCAGACAACCAAACAGCCATAAAAATTCATCATCAGTGCTTCCCTCGTTGTGAGGTCAGAGATTTACACACCTGGCACAAATATATAAATAAAGCTCACTTACACAGACACTGTATAAAAGAAACTGAGAAGCTCTTCCAAACGACTTGATTGCAACATCTTCACAAACCCACTTCAGATCCCCTCCCTTTCTCCTCCCCACACTCCTCCCTCTCACCTCATCACACCCTCCACACCGTGGCTTCTCGCTGTCGCCATAGTGACGGCCGCAGTACAGCTGGCCCTTCTTCCAGAAGTAGATCATGTCCACTAGCAGCTCTTTGCAGGTGCAGCAGACGAAGCAGGCCGGGTGCCACAGCTTGTCGTATCCGGCGCGCTCTGCGTACACCGCCGGGTCACCCTGCAGCATCACCTTCTGACAGTGGTGGCAGGACTGCAGAAACAAGAGCCATCAGCTCAGCCAAGCAAAGACACAGGCACAGAAACTAGAAAAGGACCAGGACTCATTTATCCAGCGTTTCAGAGCAAGAGCAGAGATACAGCAGCAGCTCCTCTATGTTTAAAGGGATGTACAAAAAAAGCTGATCTTAGATGAGCAGTCATGGCCCCAGAGAAGCGAATTACACTTATCCTGAACATGAAAATAAATGTCAGTATGCTCTTATGGGTATGATCAGTACTTGAACACTGAACAACTGCATGTCTTATAAAAAAGACCTCGTTTTAAAATTTTTAAATGATAGAAAACCTGTAAACAACAAAAACAACCAACTGTATAGTAACAGGCCGTGATTTTATGCTCTCGTTTTGGATTAATTTTTGCAAATTAAAAAAAAAAAAACTCATTGTACTCATTGTGCTGTTAAATGTGGCTACTCTTTTGCTGAAGAACTTTCCAACTTTCTCACAAACTTCAGGAAAAACTAAATATAATGTCATATACTGTGTTCTGTTGACATAAAGCTTATCACAATATGTCTGTCAAATGAGTATAACTGTCAGTGTCTCTAACAGAACACAAAAGATGGAGCCTCGATGTGGAGCTCTGAGTAGTAATTTAAGAGTATCTATGCTTAAAGGACTTGCGTTCATTCCAGTTATGGGCCACAGAGGAGCTGACTCGTTCTAGGCAACAATCACACATTTAGGCCATGTTCAGACTGCCAGCCCAAACCCAATTTTTGGCATTTCCAGACTGTATTCAGATTACATTTTTGGTAGTCTGGACAGCAGAAAACCACATGATCCAAACCACATTTGGAGGTGGTTTGAAATGCGATTTCAATCTGATTTCTACAGATGCATCTCAGTCTGCTCAAATCAGATTTTTGCATCATTTGCAAGGCAACAAACAATGACAATGTCAAATCCAGAGTGACGTAAGATATAAGAAGATCACCAAAGATTCATGTTTATGCCAGAGAATTCTGAGAAGTTTGCAGGGCAAGATGATGCACCTCCATCTCTCCTGCATCCACGGTTGAAATCTGCATCACCAGCGTTGCTATGTAGTCTCTGACACCTACGTCGTTACCACAGCAACCCATGAATATAGGCTGGCAAATAACTGTGGACAATCATCTCAAAAGATCTGATCTGAGAAACATCCGATTTGCCTGCAGTCTGAACACAGCCATAGTTCATCTGGAGCTCTGCGGGAACTGAGAGCAGAAGCATTTCAGCAGAACATGAGCATCATGCTATCTAGTATAGCTCATTAAATGGCGCCATCTGGTGGTGAGAATCAGGTATTGCCAACTTAAACATGACCCTAAAGGCAAATTAATGGAATTGAGAGCATTATTTTTGTCCTCTCCGTCCCTAAGAGACAAACTTGAAGTTGAAACGACCAATATTTTCAAGCAAGTATGATTACATTAAAGGGAAATTCTACATTTTTTAAATTATCTGCATAATCTTAGGGTTAAGATGTAAACAAAGTCATTCAAAATTGATTTGATACCACACTGACACATTATTCTAAAACAACTTAAAGAATCAGAATTGTTGCGATAGGAACCAGACATCCAATGCAATTAATGACTCGCAAAGCTACATCACATAATGTTCATTGCACAAAATGAGTCACAGTCTTATGATAGTTTTTTTGCCTAAAATGTATGTGTAACACATATGGGTGGAGAGGTACCTAACAGATGTTGTAAGGCAAAACAGTACCCAATTTCTTTTTAAATTAACCAATGTTATACCATTTTAAAAATTACACTTAAAAGCTCAGAAAACATGTAGCTTTCGTGTCTGCAAGGTTCTCAATAATTAACCTTATCTCATCAAAACAATGAATGACTTTCTTTACACCTTAATGACTGAATTACAGAGCAATTTTGAAAAATTCCTCTTTAAGTTTCCTTACTCTCAGTAACACTTTTGCAAGTCAGTTTCTTTACCATTACTATTTCTGACTTTGTACTTTTAACCCACAAGCATTGTTAAGGCTTTATAATGTTTAAATGGTTTTATGCAGGGTATAGTGCTTTGCGGAAAGCTGCAAAAACAGTTTCAGAGTCTGCACTTTTTCCTGCGATGGATAAACTTTTGTGCAGATGTCGTCTGAAATTCCATTCATTTAATCACAGCACTCTAAAACAGCCTCTGCTTGCTGCTCTTGCTGTAGTTTATGAGTAATGAACTTACATAATTGCCAGGAAGGCCGCTGCCTACAGCTCCCGGGCCTGCCGGTACGCCAGCCTTGCCTACAGCAGCCTTGTCTCCTGGTGCCGACCCAGCCCCTGGAGCTCCAGCAGCTCCAGGCCCCAGGCCCTGAGGGCCCCTTGCTCCAGCAGGGCCGGCAGGGGTGCCCATCTCCTCCGGCAGAGTGAGGTCTCCCATCCCCAGAGCCTCGTCTTTGTACTTGCGAACGTATTGCTCCATCTGTTTGACCTCAGCTGGCGTGAGCTCGTGGCATCGGGCCGGGTCCTGGTCATGCTCTGGAAGCTGTTTGGCCATTTGTTTCTTACGGTAGTCTGCCCCCTGAGTGCCTGCAATGGGCCTCCGTTCTGGAGGGAGCAGCTCCATGTATCGCAGAGCCTGAAGAAAGTACAGAGAGAGAGAAAGAGAGGTGTAAAGATAAAGAGCAAGAGGAGGACAGATGGAGCAGAGAGGCAAAAAGGGCCAGAGAAGTGACAGTGTTAGGCTACAATCACATACAAGCCTTACTGTTCGATTCCAACGTTTTGCCAAGATCAGATCTTTCTGCCACATTTGCCACATTTGCCTAAATGTAAATGACCCATACTGTACTGTGCAAAAGTCTTAGACACCTAAACAAATTGCTTAAAACCATTTATCTGGGCAGTAAGTTTGTTTTTGCTTGTAAAAACACCACATAACATTAGAATACAGTCAAACAAACATTAATGCAGTAAAAAGACCGTTTTCTTCTTTTTAAAAAAAAAGTAGTTGATCTTGTAAGCTAGCTAAAAGAACACAGCTTTGGTTCCCAATTTCTTCTCAATGCCCAAGAGCCATCACCTAATTCTGTTAAATTCCACACTTCATTTAAATGGCCTACATCATGGAAAAACAAATCACATTCATGAAGTTAAAGGAGCTTTAAGTAATATGTTAACGTTGTTGCAAGTTTCAATCTCATTCACTACCCAATCCCTACAGTTCATATACTGAACCATGTTGCAAAAACCACCCATTTTAAATGAACTGTTTCTGTGATGTCATGAAAACAAACTAATTTACATATATTCACCAATTCCACCTACAGCAGTTTAGCCCTGCCTACTCACAAGTTCTGCTTAATGAGTTTATCGTATATATTCACACAAATGTTATAATGGGACCTCAAGGGGAAAAAAAATACAATACAAGGAAAATGTACACTATGAGCCCTTTACCTTAATGAACCACTGATTAGCCAAATCAGATACTGAATGTTAACTATGATTAATACTGTCTTCCTGGAGGAGACATCTGGAAATTCAGTTTAGTGAATGCATTAACAGACATAAAATCACTTCTTAATGTATTAATATTATTTGTAATCATTATAATTTTGGTGCTTTTTTTAATTAAACAGCTTTTCTCAGGTGCCTAAAACTTTTACACAGTACTGTATTCAGCATTAGTGTGAACACATCTCAGCACTGAAACAATCCTCGTGTGCATGTACACTGGATGATGACAACAGTGATATGTGACATTCAAAAGTAAATATGAAATGTGAACACATAAAACAAATGAAAACGGCTCAAATCTGATCTGAAATTATATGAGTTTGGTGTTCACACAGCTCGGAAAAAAATCAGTCCTTTAGCACATTTAGGCAAAAAACTGGATTGGCCTCACTTCAGTTCTGTATTGTAAACTTCCTACCTGGGAGAATGAAACCTGGAATAGTGGTCTCAGCTCCAGCCCTGGGGACCTGGGGACCTACTCTCACAGTGTCCAGTACTGCCCTGCATATTAGCCTTTTCTTGCTCTAACACACCCAGCTCACCTCAGGAAGGGCTTGTTAATTAGTCCTTTAATTGCATCAGGTGTGTTGGGAGCAGAGAGAACTCTAAAATATGCAGTGACACTCCAATGAGAAACGGGATCGCAGGGAAAGGATACTTGAAAGCATATATTAAACAGAGCAGGGGTTCCCCAGGACTGTAAGTGAGCACAACTGGTCCAGAACTCAAATAAATATTTCTCTAATTCCTGTAAAACAGTGCCCTCTAGAGGATACATTACTTATTGCAATCACTGTTGTGAAGTACATATCACTAGTATACATTACATTCAGTTTACATATAAATGAACCACTTAAGATGGTCCTCCAAAGGTTTTAATGTTGAGACACTTACCAGACTCTGGTTAACCCCAGGAGGAGCCCACTCGTAGGTAACGGCTTTTACCACATTCGTTTTGGCTGGGATTGCAGCAGGAGCCACAGTGGCTGCCACAGAGGCAGCAGCGGGGTGTGCAGGGGTGGGTGCATAGGGGGGCGCCAGGGGTGGGGGCAGAAGAGGCAGAAGGGGCAACAGGGGCCACAGGGGTGGGGGCAGATGGGCCAGAGGGGGCTGCCGGTGTAGAGGTGATGGCGGGGCCGACTGTGGCTGCAGTAGCAACTGTCGGGACGGGCACCGCAGTGCCAATAGCCGGGGTAGTGATGGATATGGTAACCTGACTGCCTCTGTAGGAGGGCACTCCATCTTTCTTCAGCTTGGCTATGAGCCCTGTGTACTTGGTGTCCTCGAACAGCCGGCCCACCTTCTGGTTCTCCTCAGTCTGCAGTTGCACATCGTGGTCTTCAATCCCACACTTACAGTTCCGACAGATCTTTCTGTTAAGGTGAAATAAACAAAAGATTTACAGATTAAGTCAGTTTATCCTGCAGGAATTCAAATATCATGGCATAATTAAGAGCAATTTCAGAGGAATTCTATAAACTCTGACTGATTAGAGGGCCAAGATGGAAACTGCACCGTAAACTGACTAAATATAAGCTTCCAACCACCATAATCATACTGAAGGAAATAAACAGTTCATATCCTGAATGACTGTATTCAAAAGCTCCACTTCATGACAGAGTGAAACCTGACTCTGAGGCTTCTCTGGTATACATTACATCAGTGGCTTGGACTGCTATGCATGTAATAACATGAAACACAACCGACATGGGGATGAATGTTGCGAAGGAAAGAATATTTCACTACTTAAATAAACTAAACACATTAACTACACATTTATTTTTCAACTCTGCTTAAGGTCAAGGAATACTGCATACTGTGCATACTCATCATGACTTAAACTGCTCAGGGCTCTTTTATGTGGTTGGGTTAATGTGCCATTGCAGGCCTTTGAAATGGAGCCCTGTATACTGACATTTTTTCTGGCCATATATTTTGGTGTCCCTACTGGGGCTTAAACTAGCTAAACATAAAGGTACACAAAAAGCACAATGCAGAAGGTTCAATTACGCAGACAACTGCACCACAGTGCATATTTTTACATTTTAATGGTGAGTTTGAGAGTGCTAGCATGAGACATTCTGACTCAGAAACATGGACCATTACTCTTAATACTGCGGGGGCGGGGGTGGTTGCTTTCAGTCTGGCAGAGAAAGCATAATTTCATTGAGAGAACAAGCCACCAAGCAAAGCTTTAGCAAATGTTGGTTCTGTCATTATTGAAGTCAGCAGGATATTCACACTGCTGCTCCGGAAAAACAAGACGAAATGTGAAGTAATTTCCTGTGTGACTCTTTGTAACATACTCTCACTTTACTTACTTTTGCAGAAAAAGTGAACCCTACAGTGTGTCAGTGTGTAGTGTTCGAATTCTCAGCACTGAATCTTCCGGTCGTTCCCCAGTCAGTTCACCATCTATCAGACACTATGTAGTGAATAGTGAATGAGTTAACGAGCAAACCATTCAAACGCAGTGCGTGTCTGCTTCTCAACTAAAGGAATCCCAAAACACCCCCCTCCCCACAGTGCATGTCTAGAGCTGAGTGTGGCGCTACTGTGGCGACGGAGTAAGGGCACAGCTGGTACCACAGCACCTGTAGAGTCTCCTTCAGGAAAACCAACCAAGCGCAGCTAATGGGATGAACATTCCCACTGAGCACTGTGTGACAGCATCTTCCTTCAGGGATTTTGCTCAAATAAAGCGTGAATTGTGAGAAGTTGTGAAAATTACATAAATAACAATAGAGGATACATAAAAAGCAAACACTATAGGTGTCTGAATGTGATGGAACTGCAGTATATAGTGTTGCTTTTGTATCGAAACCTCATATTTCCAAAATGGTAACTTTAAAGGAGAGGAAAACAATCTTAAATGAGAGCTAATTTAACAATATGTTATTGTAATTATTCTGGACCATTTATATTAATCCATTTGCACACAATGTAAAGAGTAACTGATGTTTTAAAGTGGTGTAAACAGTGTAAATCCGTGAACAAACTTTAAGTTGGCTTGACAAACCCATTGCTGTGGAATCCCAAGTGGTTGTTAAAGTATTGTTAGTCTGTTGCTATGGTATCCCAGATGGTTGCTAAGGTGTTGCTAGGCTGGTGCAATGATATTCCAGGTGGTTGCTAAGTTAACCCATGTGCTAGGGGGCTGCTAGCTTTAAAACTGTGAAAATGGTTAAAAAAGGGTAGAATCATAATAATAAGAAAAAAATGAAGAACAGTATGTTGGCAAGCTAATTTAATAAAACCCCTTAAAAAATAAAATTGTGAGATTTTAACGGGACCGTGACGATATAGGTTGCTCATATGAGCAGTCAATGGATGTGAAGCACCTTCTCCTTTTGTAATGAAACAGAATAAAACAAAACATAATCCACCTTAAGACAGAAGGATGCTAATGACGATTGTGAATTAATCAGTTTGGAGCTCTGTACAAACCTCCAGAAGTGGAGCTCAAAGCCCTCACACTTGTCCTTGCATTTCAGACAGGGTGCGCCGGCTCCTATCTCGTGGCCCAGGGTCATCTGCCAACACAGCACAGGAACGACTGTTATAAACACAAGTCTTAGTAGCCTTAAATCCCTTAAAAGCAGCATTTTTTTCTATTTGAGCCCAGTTTCATTGTGAAAGTAGAGTTAATCGCACTGGGATTCAGGCCAATCTGTTTAAGAAAAAAGAAAAATTGACAGAGAGTAGACAGTACTTAATAGAAAAACTTTCAAATAATACTGTCACTGTGTCTAGTTCTCTACACCAAAAAAACAAAAACAAAAAAACTTTATTTACATACTTTATTTGCATTCACGTTTTTTCTGCTCAGGCTGCATGGCATTTCAATCATTTGGTTTGCTTTCGCTGTCAAAACAGCAGAGCACTCCCAAAATCTTCCCACATTATCACTCTTCCTTTCCACCCAGTTCCAGCATGTGGATGGCTATATAAGGCTAAGTATTTGAGAATGTGAGGAAAGCCTGGAGGGCTCCAACACTCTTCTCCTGTTTTTAGAGCTGAACCCTTTTCTTCTTTTCATTTGCTCATAGAGGGGGCTAAAATAACCAAGTAGCCCCACCTCTGGTGGGAAATGCCTGCTTCAGAGTTATGTGAGGCCCGCTCAGGCTTTCAGGACCACAATTTTCACACTAATGTAAATATTACCTACACTGATTCTGTAGCTAATATTTACACAAATCTAGGGCTGGGCAATACGACAACCCTCATCATTACTGTGATGAATTAGGCCACAATTTGTCACAATATGCTTTTCTGAGCATATCATGGATATCGTTAGTACTTCAAAAACACTTCCCAACAGCATGTTTGATCACAAAGAGAGCACAAGTTAATTTCATTGGATTTAGTGCAGCACAGTACAAGATATGTTGAATATAAATCATAAATCATATAAATCATTCATAGTTTTTGACAGCATTTGTTTAAATGAGACAAACGTTGTCTTTTCCAATTTATCATTTGTCAGAAGTAAAGTGATATTACATTTTTGCCATATGGCCCACCCCAAACTTCATCAATCATATTTACTCTTAAATTAAGGGACCATATCTTGCAAAGTACAGCTGGACGATATGGATAAAAATATTAGTATTGTGATTATTTTGCAATTGCAATTCGCCTTGAAATATGGGTAAAATGCACTGGATAACCTCATAAAGCAACCAAACAAACCTCACTGGGAAAAAACAAAAGGTAACCAATAATGTGACATTGGCCTGCATTATTCTGACCAAAATAATTGAATTTTGTTCGATCACAAGAATACCTTGATTAATCAAAACACCCACAGAAACACTCATCTGGAACTGTGATTGTTCAGGATGCTCAAAACAGTAAAAACACTGTAAATATATATAGAAACATATATAAATATGTGCACATTGCAGTCTTCTGTAATATTAATACTGCAGCTGTCCTATAGCAAAGCCATCAGACAGAGGGTGACAAAGCATCTGTGCTCCCCACCCCCAACTCCCCACCCTCCAGCTCTGAATCTACTTCATACTCATATACAGCATGTGTTTGAGTTGGCTATAGGCCACTGCTTTACTTAATGACCAGCTGGAGTTGTCTGGAGGGCCATGTCAGGCCCTGGGGACCTATGTTGCAACTCCCAACTGAAGTGTAATGCTTAAAATGACAGACTGTACCTCTGTGACTAAAAGGTTTAGTCTGACTCACATGGTTTCTGTGTTTTGTCTATGCTACTGTGCGCTTGATGGCAGCGTGTCAACACTCTGGACCGTCCAATACGCTTTCACATTAATCAGAGTCTCTTAAAGTAAATGTTTGCAAATTCACTTCTTCACTTGCTTGAGCCTTTCCATTTTCTAAGTCCAAGTACCGATGACATCATCGTGCTCCACAAATGTAAACTCAGAACAGCCTACAGTGCCCTGATGTTCAGTCCAGTTTAACACGCTGACAGGTAAACGACGAGTCTGTAAGGAATTACATGGTAAATAGAGATTACTGGGCCATTAAAACTGGTGTCAACTGCTATTAATCCACACAATGGGATTCATTTTGCCAGCAATTTGGAAAACAGTCCAGCAAGCCAGTGAGCTGATTCAAGCAAAAATACAGAACTAGACTAGGCCCAGCCAGAAATTCCTTTCACAAATATGTCATTGTACGTCGTAGATCATTACAGAGGGTTATGAAATGAAGCACAGCCATTTAGAAACAAGCTGGCGGGGTGAAGATGAAACTCAGCCAAATTACTTTGAATTCTCTTTCTTAGGCGTTGGGTTGTCAGTAATGAGGTTGTGGATTCAATGGAGTTGACAAGAGAACAAATGAAAGGCACTCAATATGCAGTAAGTAGCCTAATGACACTTGACCCACAGCCAAAATGATGGACAACACAAAACAGCTGACTAAAAAGAATAAAAAGATGAAGTTACTAGTGGTAGTTAAACCAAATAACAGCTATGTAATGTAGTTCTTAATGACTAAGGCTATATAGCACCAAAGGTTCTTTACTTGAAACAGTATTGGGACACTTTCTGGTGCAACAGAACAATGACTCAAAAGGTTCTTAAAGAACCATATACAACAGGGTCACAACCATAAGTTGGCATAGTTCTATAGCCATTGCTTTTACCAAATGACCATTGAGAAACTCCTTTTAAAGAGCGTAGTGCCAAAACAAGCTCTAGATCTATTCTATTAGATTATGTGGCTGCTGCATAATCATATCATTGTCTGTTGCCTACAGATGGATAACACAATAACAGACCCTAATGAAGACAAAAAGGACCAGTCTCTTTGTTATATAGTGTCTGACCAAGCCTACTGTCAGCAGAAAATGCTCTTTTATGAGTAATCATGCCATTGTCTACTGTCTGTAGACAAGCCCTTGTCTTTGACCCCCATCATCCTCATCTCGGACCATCCCAGGAGCAAAGCACAGCGCCCCAGATGTACTGAATGAAAGTCACTTCCTAGAGACCGACACTGAAACTACACTGACAGATATTAAAGCACCAATAAACCCGCAAGAACAAGTGTGCCATTGTACAAAAGAGGAAAAAAGAGAAAAACTTTAGCGGCCTGTCTTCAGGTTTCAGCACTAACCGAAAGTGAGACTGAACTGCTGTCTTGTGTGTCTGGACTGCTTTTCATTCATTTGTAACCTCAGCTACGTTACTAGCACGGAGAGCTTTACCTTTCTGGGCGTTTCCACAGAGCAGGTCACCTTTAAGAGGAACTCTAATGGGACCCTCACGAAGAAGACACCAAAAAAACTTACCTTCTTCACCTCCTTTTCGATTTCCATTGTGAACTTTTTCGTAAAGCTGGTTAAATAAACAGGTTTTCTGCTGATAATCCCGCTTCCACGGCTGAATGTAGCTGAAGGCTGAGGTTTTGTGGCCGCTTAGCTGAATTCCTCACCGCGCCCTCTCCTTCACTTTCGGCTCATTGTTCACTCTTCCTCTGTCCTCCAACGTGCGGCTCTCAACCAATAGAATCCCACCACGGGATTGCGACGACCAATCAGAACCAAGGAAGGGAGTCCTCCACCGAAACAACTGTAACGTGTTCAGATGTTCATGTTTAAATGAATTGTATGTACATTTTTGATTCTATGTTAATGCAGTTATTTCAGTTTATATACTTTATTAATAGTTATATTGTAAAAATCTTTAGTTGTAATATTATACAAAGATGAACAGCGATCAAAATGTGGGTTGTAAATTCTTTCTCTGTACATGTTTTGTAGTACAAAAGATACAGTGATACTGCCATTTATGTCTACTCACGCAGTAAACTTAATGTAGCCTTTGGCACTTTACTACATGACTTCCGCCATGATCCGACAAAGGAAGCTGTGGTTTAGCCAACTGGGCGTGGAGAGTTCACAGTACAGAACTCTATTACACATTCTCCCTCTCTCCCGCTCTCTCTCTCTCTCTCTCTCTCTCTCTCTCTCTCTCTCTCTCTCTCTCTCTCTCTCTCTCTCTCTGTATCTGTATAAGTGTGTGCCAGCACTATCTTATCTACACTCCTAAAAAGACGGTTCTTTAAGGGTTCTTTTGTAAAGAAAATGGTTCTACACAGAACCGTGAACACTCAAAGAACCTTTGCATGATTAAAGAGTTCTTCGCATCTTGAAAGCGTTCTTCAGATGGAGAATGTGCTGTAGATGATTCTATATAAAACCTTTTTGAACCCATTTTTTTCAAAAGGGTTCTTCTATTGTTACAATCTTGACATCATTGCAATAAAAGAAACATTTTGGGTGTAATGTAGAACACTTTTAAAAAGATTCTGTATAGAACCATCTACAGCAAATTCTGAAGAACCCTTTAATCATGCAAAGGGTTCTTCGAGTGTTCATGGTCCTATATAGAACCATTTTCTTTACTAAAGAACCATTAAAGAAACAGAGTGTAGTCTGCCTTCTTCAGAGGCATGTCTTTTTCTTCACTCTCAAATAAAACAGAATTTGAGGTGTTTTAATGGGTGTATTCATCAGTTAAAGGGAAAGTCCAATCATTTTCCAAAATATCTGCATAATTAAATGGTTTAGATGTGATCAAGTCATTCAGAGTGGTTTGGTGTGAAACGCTCCGTTCTAGAGAAACTTACCCAGTCAGAATTGTTCACAGTGGTGGTGATAGGAACCAGACATCTGAAGAATTTAATACTCTTACAGCTCCCTCACAGTAAGTCTGTGACACTGTTTTATGATAGTTTTGAGCGGTTTTGAGGTTTTAAATACATTTTTAAAATCTGTTCATAGTGAATGCATTACTAAAAATTGATGTTCTACTATTTTACCCTCATTAACATCACACATAAAAAACTCGGAAGACGTAGCTTCACTGGTGGTTTTGGATAGTAAATAAAATGGCTATATCAGTGTTGTTTCTCTACAGTGAACCATTTCACATCAAACCGCTCTGAATGACAAATGTTTACATTTGACTGAATTATGTAGACCTTTTGAAAAATCTATAGAATTCTTCAGTTTGTCATTATTCACATACATAAGTGTACAGCATAGTCTGTTAGTCTCAAAGTGTACAGCTGAACACTGAACATTAGGACAAATCATGTACTTTAATAAGTTATGTTAGTTATTTACAGTAATATCTTATACAGTGTAGAGGTAAGTATCCCAAAGTAGACTAAAATGTCTTTGTAGATGTTTTTTTGAAAATTTCAAGTATTTTGGGAACACCAAGAAGTTATCAAATCATACATATTATACTGTAATGATCCATTTACAGTTATTAGACATATACTTTGTCTGAACAAAACCTTGCATCTCCATTTTTGTCAATTTTATTTATTTATTTATTTATTTTTAAATAGCCCGAAAACACCAGTTGCCCCTCACACCATGTCAAAATATCACGAACAAACAAAAATGGTTCAAAATGACTTAAAGTTAGCTTAAAACTAAAAAGATAAAAAATGCTAAAAGTGTTTTTTCCTTCTCTTTTAAAGATTTTCTTGATCTGACAGTGAGAGTATTGCAAATATTGTGAGGTTATGTGCCTGAAGATTTGATCTCAATTTTTGAAATATAAGCATTGTGGATATGAATTGTTCTATAAAAGAAATTAGAATATGCACGTTCTGGTCTACAATATAAAGTCTGAATAAAGGTTAAAATCCTTGTCTGAACTTCGTACACTCTAGACAGCTGTGACTCATACAAGGCCAAATACAGGTGCTTTGAACGCTGGGTGTGTTTTTCCAGCCTTATCTGTGCATGAGCTGTCCTGCTGCTGTCTGAATCGATTAAGCTATTTATTTATCCAGTTCTCTCTGTAGGGTGATGTTAACAATATCAGCCACCAACAAAACAGGCAGGCTAAACTGCTGTGGACTGAATGAACTGTCGTATGTAAATCTATTCATGTTTGTGACATCACTACCATGATGTTTTCTAAACAGGCTGTTTTTGTAGCTTAGTGTTTTATATATGGCTGTGAAGGCTGGGAAGTGAATCGAACATGATGTACATTTAACAGTATAATATGATACAATCAATGTTTTTCTACAGTTGTGTCCATACAGTTGAGGGCGAAAGTTTGCATCTCTGCTTTGAAATCATAAAAATACAGCAAGGGAATGATGTTAACCACCAGTTATTTCTTAAAAAAATGTTCAAAAATCACAACAGTGAAAAGCAAAGTTATAAAAATGAATGTTCACACATTAATGATGACACAAACAAACTCCTATGTTCATACAATGTCTGTATAGAACCAGCATAAATACAATGCATCAGAAACTTGAAGGGTAGAAGACAGGTAGAAGATGATTCTTGCTGGACTTCTGAACTACTTATATACTTATGAACAAAAATACCCAATAGATCTCTATGATCAACTAGAGCATGTAAAAGGAAGAGAGACTAATACAACAATATATACCACAAAAAATGATGGGTCTTAATAGGTCTTTAAATAGGCCCTTGAACGGATATTTGTGAGATATACCAAATGACCCTTTCTTTCAGTGTGATTTTTTGATGTTTACAACTGTTTCTCAGTTGGCTTTGTGTTATGTTTGGGATCATTGTCGTGTTGCAGGATGGTAAAAGCTCTACTTTAGAATCTTCTGGTATTAAACTGCATTAATTTTCATCTACACTCTTAAAACAGATGGTTCTTCCAGAGTTCTTTAGTAAAGAAAATGTTCTATATATAGAACCATAAACACTCAAAGAACACTTTGCATGATTAAAGGGTTCTTTGCATCATGAAAGCGTCCCTCAGATTGCAGATTGCAAAATGCTGTAGATGGTTCTATATAGAACCTTTTTGAAAATGGTTCTATATAGCACCAAAAGGGTTCTGCTACTGTTACAATGTCAAGTATGTAACAATAGAAGAACCCTTTTTGGTACTATAAGATTCTGTGTAGAACCATCTATAGCACATTCTCCATCAATCTGAAGAACCATTTCACCATGCAAGGGTTCTTTGAGTGTTTATGGTTCTGTATAGAATCATTTTCTTTACTAAAGAACCCTTGAGGAACCATCTTTTTTAAGTGTGCACTTTCTTCAGAGCTCCAGTGCAGACCAGTCCAGTGAAGACCCCCAATCTGCAAATGTTTCTCCCAAATATGTCAGACCTGTAGAGTGTGTACTTGGAGATGTGGAGTTTGGAGAGATGTGGTTTGTGTCTGATTCCTGCACATGTCTCTAACAATTTTTCTGGCAAGTCAACTCAAAGATTATTTATGTAGAGCTTTTTACAACAGGTGTTGTTACAAAGCAGCTTCACAGCAAAATCTGGGTCTGAGCCCCCATGAGCAACCTAGTGGTGACAGTGGCAAGGAAAAACTCTCTAAGAGCAAGAGAAGGAAACCTTGAGAGGAACCCAGACTCAAAAGGGGAACCCATCCTCCTCTGGTTGACAATGGATAGCAAACAGTTGACCATTAGTACAAGTACAAGATATGGAAAAGGGAAAAGCAGGAGTAGCAATGTCTATGATTACAAACTGCAGCAGTATCATCAGGAGGGTCAGAGGCGTACAGGTGAGGTTTGCATAGCGTTGTACAGCAGGAAGCTCCATGGTGGTCAAACTGGTCCAAAAGGCTGGTGAGCAGTGGGCAGATGAAGCAACAGTATCAGACCACACAGGATGGGCAGTTGTTCAGGTCGGCAAAAAAACAGCAGTTCGGCACTTTTTTCTTTTATATTTCTTCCACTCCTTGGTAGCATCCCTGTGTCTGCATTTCTTCTAGTTTTGATTACAGCTTAACTCTTTATCAACTCTTATGTTTTAGATCTTCTGAAAGCTACTTTTCTGATCCCATTTTAATTTGTAGCTGCTCACACAAAGTATTTGATAGTTAGCTTATTTAGTGAAATTTTAGCTTGTTCTTTTTCTGAAAAAGGGTCATTAATCACCTTAGTTTCAAATGAATTATTTAGGGAATGTCTAAGAGAATGCACACTTTTGAGATACATTGTGAAACAGAGGCATATTTCCAGTTTATCACTCTGTAACCATGAGTTTGCATCTAACTCATTCCAGTTTTATACCAGATTTAGATACTAAGTGTGGGAAAAGCAGCAGAAGGGCCAGTCTGGTACCTCAGGCCCAAGGTCACAATGACATAGCTGAAATATAAAAGTCTAGTGCTACACTAAAACGCTCTATTCCATCAACATGAGAGGGCTGTTGGTTTTGGCGACTGTGTTTGTGGCCGTTTTCGGCAAGGAGACCTTTGAGGGGTAGGAATTTTCATCTTTTCTTTCGCCCATTTTTAGAGCTGTATAATTATAAGCTCAAGAAATAGAAATGCACTGTAAGTTCATAATCTTAAAAATCTCACTGTGTCACAGAAAGATGAACATCATGGTAAATGAAGATATACTGGCGGATTAAAGAGGAATTCCATTCAATCTTTGAGGTTCAAACAAAGCCATTCAATTCAAGTGGCTGTGATGTCTATAAAACAAATATACAATTTTAGTTATTATCT